TCGTTATAATAGATACCAAACTATAGACTGATTTCCAGGGTATGGCTTCAACAGCTACTCCGACTTGCTCATAGTCTATATGCATAAAATCACGATACGAGTAGGAAATGGTATTACATGTAACATTAAAATCGAATACGGTAAATATTAACCCATATAATCCCAACTTTTTTCTAGAAAAATTTTGAAGGAAAGAAAGCAATTGCGGTTAGCTATGAGACACCAGTAACCAAGCGCTTAAGGCCTTTTATTCATATCTCTCGTAGTTTTTGAGAAAATAGCCGCCCCAAAAATGGGGCGCTGGCCACACCAGGGAGCACTAAAAATATACTATGTAGTTCAGTTAATATAAGATGAGATTTCAGTTTTATTAAAGAAAATTATAAATTTAATTCAGATTCCACTTTTTAATTGATTGAATTAAAATAAATATAAATAAAATTATGAATGGAAAGCCTCAAAACAGTTTGTGTGACATCCAACATCACATTTTCGACACTTTTTAGTTGTGTTTTTATGGCACATTGCACATCTTATTTGAGTTGCATTTGAAATTATTATGTGGCCTTGACCATCAAGGCGAACTCCGTCTGGAACTCTACGTCTTTTGCAACGAGGCTTCAAGGGGCGACCCATTGTACGTGGAAGGGAGTATTTTCCTAAGCAAAGAAGTAATTATGGCAAATAGAAACATGAATAATGAATATATTTACCAAGATATGTAGTAGTTATTACTCTGATAAATGCAAGATAGTCTAATGAACGATTTTCTTGACCATCTGGAGACAGTTTATAAAGTTGAAACGCATTGTTCACGGATACGTTCAAAGGCCACATCATCAACTGCCAGTACCACTTTTTACGATTGATACTGATTCGATAACATCCCACATTCTGATCTAGTCGGTCAGTACCGCCCATATATCTATTGTACTGCTGGATACATAATGGTTGTGGAATAGCTATCTTTTTCTTTTGACTGCTTGACCATCGTTGAGCCGATCCCAGAGGTAGTACTCCTTCGGCAGAGGAGGCCAAAGTAACTACGTTGTTGTCATTATAGCGAATTAGCGTAATACCTGATTTCTTATCAGTAATCTGATGATAGCTACCCCTTGGTTTGGATTTTATGCTTTGAAGTGACTCCAAAGGTGCTTTTTCGACGCGATTTGCTCGAATAGTGCCAGTTCCCTGGTGTCCAGATTCCTTCAGTGCTGTTAGCAAACGAAGTGACGTGAAAAAATTATCGATGTAGACGTGGACTTTGAACCCATTTGGTAGTTTAGACAGCAAATTCGTAACAACGGACCCACCAACTCCTAGCTCGGGATTAGTATTACCGGTGGAGGCTCCTTGATAAGGTTCAGCTTGAATCAAATACCCTAGGCGAGTTGCCATGCACCAAATCTTATAACCAAATCGGATTGGTTTTCCATGGATATGTTGTTTTGTGCTATGGTGGCCGTAATACGGTACCATGGATTCATCTATACTTACATTCGTAAAGCGCGGAAAATATCTCATCCAACTTGCGTTAAGTTTATCCCACAATGGGCGAACCTTTGTAAACTTATCTCCCTGATCTAATAATGTATTGTCGCTTACGTGCATATATTTCAAAATTTGCTCGAACCGAAATCTTGTCATAGAGTTGGCAACGCCAGGGTGATATGTATCAGCACCTGTGTCCCAAAACATTCGCTGTCTTGCATAGGAACAATAGCCACTCAACAAAAATATAGCAATTACAAGACGCATTTCTTCGCGCGTTACGTCAAACTGGTCGTTCCCCTCGTAAACGGCATACTTTTTCGAGTTAAGTACTATCAAGTCTACTAACTCGTCATCATAAAATAGTTCAAACCACTCCACAGGGCTCCGAGAGTCGTTGAGAAAGTCAGGTTCAGTCCAAGTTTGCCTTTCATACGTTGGAAGATCCTTGTCCTCCCTTTCTCTATCTGGCAGAGGTTTTTTCTTTGATTTTCTCACTTGGGCTTGATTCCGAATTTTTAGTTCAGATAAAGGAACATTGTCATCACTGTCGTCCGAATCAGACTGATTTTCACGCCCAAAAAATGCATGCTTCAATCCACCACCACCTTGTCTAACTATTTGCAACTGCCCTTCAGCTCGTAGCTGATTTCCAGAGAGATGATTAAAGTTTCCTGCTTCGGCGTCGTCTTCGTCACTGTCACCATCACTTAGCATGTGATTTTCAGGAGGGCAAATGTAAACAGAAGCATTTATAATGTCTTCTTCATTCTCCAATATATCGACTATGTCAGCAACAGTTAACCTGAATAGTGAGTTTCAGTTATGGAATTTCCGTAAAATATAAAAAAAGCAGAAAAAAAGAAATTAGAAAGAAAAAATGTGTCATACATTTACTGAAAATTAACAAATATGAACAAAAAGTTTATGAAACGTACAAAGATCACACTCTATAAGTCACTCATCATGCCTGTGCTGGTGTATGGCGCGGAGGCATGGACAATGAAAGCATCTGAAGATATGGGCTACCAAACCGCATACTCAAAAATATTCTAAAAAATCTGAATAAAAAGTTGAAAATCCAGCTGAAAATTTGCAGACTGTTTATAATTTTGCACTGCACAATTCTCGTGGATTTGTATTTTGTTTGTTAATGAGCTTGGCTTTTATTGAAAAATAATAAACATTAAATAAACGAAAGAGAAACAGCCAAAATCGATCAAAATGTTGATCACTTAATCAGCTGATCACAAGTGTATGTATAAAATAATTTTTATATTAACGATCTCAAACCAGTTTACAATGAATTTTAAATGTGCTCTGCAGAAGTGACATTTTAATATACCTTACGTACATATCGAGCCCTAACCGCCAAAATAATGTAAGCGACATTGTTTTCAAAATTTTCCTTTTGATGCAGAAATGCATCTAGATTCTCTAGGAATAGTTCTGCATCCAAAATAAAATTTTGAAAAAAATGTCGCTTACGTTATTTTGGCGGTTAGGGCTCGATATATACCTTTATATACAATAAAAGTTTAATAATAACAATTTTTTGTACATTCATTTGAAAATGACATTTTTGGGTAGGAAACAGGCAGGTAGGACCTGGCAACACTGCCCGCAACTTACTTAGTATGAAATTTAGCTGTCTTGTAACTGAACGTCAGTTCTTTGTGCTTGCTGTCCGTCTTTGGAACTCTCTGCCACATAAAATTAAAATAATTAAGAGGACACCGCGCTTTAGGGCTGAACTACTAAATTACTTGGCCAATTAATTGCTAATATGTACGCATATTCTTCTTTCTACCATTTTGCTTCTCCACTATTCTTTTATACCTTCACAATCTCATCACCCTGCATAACTTACATCCTACTATTCCACTGAGTCCCTCTCAAACCCCTCTTACATTAACTATGTACTTACCCTATATTATTATTATTATGATTGATATTTTTTAAGCTCAAACAATGTAAAATAACTTATGGTTGTGTGTTTGCTAAATAAATAAATAAATAAATTCGTTCCTAAGATATACGCGATTAATGGGAACCACCTTCTGTTTTAAGCTGAATAACGGAAAATTGCTAATATCTCGAAAACTTATCCATAGAAAAAAATTAACTCGATTTGTGGAATCACCAAGAAATTCTTCATAAAAATTGGATAGTGGCGTCTGGAGAACAAAAACCAAACTAAAGTTTGCGATCCAGTGTAATTAGTGGTGTGGTTACCTTTGCCATTACTGCAGTTTTTTACAGCGTCATTGGCTTTGATATCCTTGCAAGAAGCGGAAGCGTGAAGCTCGCCACAGGCAACACACACTGAGCGCAAAGTGCAGTATGTCATCCTTGTATTTCCCAGTGTTTGGATTTCCCTCAGGATTTTGTTGACTTTGCCAGTGACTGTTGCCTTCAATCTCATATGGTCTATCTAGTTTTTTGCTCTCACTGAGCAGACGGGACTGCAGACAAATTGTTGGGACTGCTGACTGTTCATGTGGCACAAACACCTGACTGTCATAGGCGTGGATTTCCACTTAGATTAGTTTGTCCAAAACCTTTGAAAAATTTGCTCAAGCCAAAGCAAGCACAGTAAACTTTTTGTAATTGATATTTGAAAACTTTGATTAAAATAAAAATTCTTAAATGTCGACTATTTTTGCAATACATTGATTATCCTATAAGAAAAAGAAACCGAGGTGATAAACGTTATTATCAAAGGGCGCCTCGTTCCATTTATGCAACGGCCGTCGTTGCTTGTACAGCCGGCCCTATCTGCAACTGGGCCTAACAAAACCCATAAAAAACCCAAGTTTAAAACCCTGTAGAAAACTAAGAAAATTCCACAAATTTCAGACTTTATTTTAAGATGTGTTATAGTCCGGGAGCTAGCGACAGTTTTTAGTGACTTATTTTATCATCGATAGAACTATGATAAGATTGTCAATATAATCACGTAAATCACGAAAACCAACCACTTACATCCATTTAGCGGGACAACACATTCCTAGAGCATTATCATTATGTAATAAAAAATTAAAAAATAACCTTATTTTATCGTCGTTGGGCTTTTGTGTGGTTATTAATTAACATTGGACGATGTCAAAAATTGATCACTGACACTTATTTAGCGGGACAATGTACCGCTTACAAGCGCGCAAAAATGTAAAAATTTTGGCGAAAATCGACCTATGATATCGCACTTTAAATCTATCATGGACATAGAGTAACGCATTATACATGTAAAAATAATGTGCTTACATCGCATCCGCGGGACAAACCTATTGTAAGTGATCGGCATAGTCGCCGCCGCACAGTGCTTCCCTTCTATATAAAATGTGGGCAAAAATAGAATTATGGACGGATTTAAATGAAACTTCGCTTCTTAGTAGAATTGGGGACGTTAAATTCAAAAATTGAATTTGTTTTTGGATAACTTTCATACTTTTACTGTGAATGCGGTTTGAAGTTGACAATTTGGATTATTGTGAAATTTACTTACGAGGTATGTACATATAGTTCGTTATATATTCAAAAGTGAGGTGTCAAATCACAGGGCTTGGTCTGTAAATGTGCAATAAAGTTTTATTTTTTTTGGAAAGGATTGCCACCTGTTAAAACTTTTATTAAAATTATTTAATAAGTTAAATGAATTAGATATTACAATATGGGTATCCATTGAAATGGTTTTGATTTTGCTTTACTTCTGAACGGCAACGAAGGGTTGCCACATGTTTAAAAAATCAAATTCATTTTAATTAGGGGAATAAGGTAACGGAAATATGTACATATACCAATATGGGTTTCAGACAAAAGAAAATTTGGGCATATTTAGCAAGAAATAAGTGAAGAGCAAAAACATTCCTGAGTTAATTTAAGAGTCCAGAAACTTAAAAGAATGTAATCAGAACAAATCACTGATTGATACATATATGCATTTTTAATAAAATAACAAATACGATTAGGACATCGACCTTTGGTTTGAAACATTTATTATTTTAGTTTAGCTAAATTTACCTTTACAAACAGGTGGCAACCCTCTTCGTAATATGTGCATGTTTAATTCAAATGGAATTTAATTTTTTAAACAAGTGGTAAACTTCTATATGTAGTTAAGAAATAAACCCTTTTCATACACATTTCTATTGATACTCATCTCTTAATAATTCATCTAACTTTTTAAAAAATTGTGAATTAATTTTTTAACAGGTGGCAACTCTTTAAAAAAAATAAACCTCTATTGTCTACAGGCCAAGTTTTTTAATCTGACACTTCATTTTTGAAAATAGAACGAATCGTGCAGATCTGATGGGACTGACAAAAAATGAAAAAATGATTTTATGCATTAGCAAGAAACGCATTACTTCAAAAAGTGCAAAGAATGAGCAGGTATATTTTCTTCTTACGAAAACTAAAAACCCATAGTATTTATTAAAATAATAAAAAAAACATCTTTTTACATCTTATATATAAAAATAAGTGCACGTTTTTGGTGTGACCTCATAACTTAAGAACGGCTTCACCAAATTCAACCAAATTTATGTGGCATATTCGATCTATCATGCAGATGGTTTATGCGAAGTTTGCCAGAATTCGGAGGGGGCATGGCACCACCCATACTAACTAAAATATAAAAATAAGTGAACGTTTTTGGTGTGACCATATATATATAGCGAACGGCTTCACCAAATTCCACCAAATTTGTGCGGCATATTCGGGCTATCATGCAGATGGTTTGTGTGAAGTTTGCTTGAATTCGGAAAAGGGGGCGTGGCGCCTCTANCTTCGCTTCTTAGTAGAATTGGGGACGTTAAATTCAAAAATTGAATTTGTTTTTGGATAACTTTCATACTTTTACTGTGAATGCGGTTTGAAGTTGACAATTTGGATTATTGTGAAATTTACTTACGAGGTATGTACATATAGTTCGTTATATATTCAAAAGTGAGGTGTCAAATCACAGGGCTTGGTCTGTAAATGTGCAATAAAGTTTTATTTTTTTTGGAAAGGATTGCCACCTGTTAAAACTTTTATTAAAATTATTTAATAAGTTAAATGAATTAGATATTACAATATGGGTATCCATTGAAATGGTTTTGATTTTGCTTTACTTCTGAACGGCAACGAAGGGTTGCCACATGTTTAAAAAATCAAATTCATTTTAATTAGGGGAATAAGGTAACGGAAATATGTACATATACCAATATGGGTTTCAGACAAAAGAAAATTTGGGCATATTTAGCAAGAAATAAGTGAAGAGCAAAAACATTCCTGAGTTAATTTAAGAGTCCAGAAACTTAAAAGAATGTAATCAGAACAAATCACTGATTGATACATATATGCATTTTTAATAAAATAACAAATACGATTAGGACATCGACCTTTGGTTTGAAACATTTATTATTTTAGTTTAGCTAAATTTACCTTTACAAACAGGTGGCAACCCTCTTCGTAATATGTGCATGTTTAATTCAAATGGAATTTAATTTTTTAAACAAGTGGTAAACTTCTATATGTAGTTAAGAAATAAACCCTTTTCATACACATTTCTATTGATACTCATCTCTTAATAATTCATCTAACTTTTTAAAAAATTGTGAATTAATTTTTTAACAGGTGGCAACTCTTTAAAAAAAATAAACCTCTATTGTCTACAGGCCAAGTTTTTTAATCTGACACTTCATTTTTGAAAATAGAACGAATCGTGCAGATCTGATGGGACTGACAAAAAATGAAAAAATGATTTTATGCATTAGCAAGAAACGCATTACTTCAAAAAGTGCAAAGAATGAGCAGGTATAT